AATAGTTCCTTAGGATTCACAGAGGAGGATTTGGGAAAAGAAATCAATGTTAGTTCTCTATTAAACATATTCTCTGGTCTCTGCAGTGGTGAGAGTTTCTGCCACTGAACATATCCAACAAATTACTATAATTTTTTGTGATTTAGGAATAAGTCTAATCAATCTAAGCTCAATATTTGTTGTGATTCTGTGATATTGCAGTTTTATAAAAATCTTGAAAGATGTATAAAAATGAAAAAATATATATATATTTTTTTACCACACAATGTAGCCAACACACAATCTAACAGAGAACCTAGACATGACAAATTAGCTCTCATAACAGTGTAGAAAGTGCTGTCAAAGTATATGGCCTAAATAAAATATAAGAAATTATACAGGCTTCAAGCAAACACAATCTCAACCCAAGGTAAAAAATGGACAAAGAATTTAAATAGATATTTCTTCAATGAAGATATACAAATGGCCAATAAGTATATAAAACAATAATTAGCATCATCAGTCATATAAAGGAAATGCAAATCAAAACTACTTCACTCTACTAAGATGGCTATAATAAAAACAAACAAACAAAATGAAATAAAAAAAATATTACCAAAGGTGTAACCCTTACACATTGTTGGTGAAAATATGAAGTGAATGATATAGCTATTGTTTAAATAAGTTTGACAATGCCCTAAGACATGAGACGCAGAGCAATCATATGACCCAGAAATGCCACTCCTAGGAATATACCCAAGAACACTGAAAACATATGTTTAGACAAAAACTAAAGCATGAGTGTTCATAGCAATGTTTTCGTAATAACCAACTTGTGGAAGTGATCCATATGTCCATTAACTGATAAATGGATAGACAAAATAAAATAATATATACAAACAATGGAGTATTCCAAATCCAAACTCACTACCAGTGAGTTGATTCTGACTCACAGCATCCCTTTAGGGCAGAGTGGAACTGCCCCAAAAGGTTTCCAAGGCTGTAAATCTTTACTAAAGCGGACTACCTCATCTTTCTCCTGCAGAGTGACTGGTGGGTTTGAAACGCTGACCTTTTGGTTAGCAGTCAAATGGCTTCACCACTTTGCCACCAGAGCTTGTTAATGAAATATTCAGCTATGAAAGAAAGCAAGCTATGAAAGCTCTGGTGGCATAATGCCTAAGGCATTTGATTACTACAGAAGGTTAGCGGTTCAAACCAACCAGCTACTCCGCGGAAGGAAGACTGGGCAATCAACTTCTGTAAAGTATTGCCACCTCAGCAATCCAAAGGATGGCTATGAGTCAGAGTAGACTCAATAGCAGTGAGTTTGGTTTTAGTTTATAAAAAAAGTATTGATGTATGCTACAATATAAATGAACTTGAAAACATGTTACATGATAGAAACCAGACCCAAAAAGCTATATATTTTATGATTCCATTTATACAAAATGCCCAGGATAGGCAAATCCATACATAGAGAAATAGGTTAGTGATTTCCAGGGGCAAAGGAGAGGCTTTGGGAAGAGAATGAGGAGTGACTATTTATAGATGCCTGTTTCTATTGAGGGTGATTAAAATGTTCTAGAATTAGTGGTAATTATTATACAGCTCTAAATATATTTAAAACCACTGAATGTTTTACTTTATAATGCTTAAAGTGGTGAAATTTTATATTACATGAATTTTACCTCAATAAAAAAATACAATCACACAGAATTTATAAAATGAAGGAAGGGATTTGTATTTCAAGTGAAAATATAATTCACAAAATATAGGCCTCATGTCCATAGTGTTGCAAAAGCTCTTTTGTAAATTATTATTATTTTTTTAGAATTGGAAAATATTATATATATATATATATATATATATATATATCCATCTACCTGTCTATCTTTTTATCTACACACACACACATATGCACACAATTTAATTTTGTTAAAAAAATGATTAAATTCCTGGAGTGGAAAGAAGCCAAGTTAAATAAAAATATATGTACAATTGTATACACATTCAATTAAAATAGATGGTAAATGATACCATCGTTTGACAGCAATTAGACTTATTTAAATTATTTACAGAAACAAAAATCAATGCCATCAAATCAATTTCAACTCATAGCAACCCCTCCTTGAGTTTCCAAGGCAGAATCACTATGGAAGTAGATTGCCCAACCTTCCTTCCGAGGAGTGGCTGGTGGGTTTGAACTGCCAACCTTCTGGTTAGCAGTCAAATGCCTTACACACTATACCACCAGAGCATGTACAATAGAATAGGAAGAAGAAAAAAAAAAACAAACATAAATATGTGGTTTTGAAATATATACAGGACAATTTTGATGGAGTACCATAGACTAGATTTGCCCTTTTGCCTAAAGCAACCCAAAAAATAGAGATTCTTTTCATCTGGTTTTAAACTTAGCAACTATATTCCATTGCTTAGACTTAAAGTGTTACTGCCATGTAAAAAGTTCTCTTCTGTATTTTCTGGTAATTTTTAAAGTATTTTATTCATTATATGACTTTTTTTCTGGCACACAAGTAAATGAATACCTCTGAATGAATAGTTTAAAACATCATATTATCTGATGAACAATTTAATTACTTTAACACAGGGGTCCACACAGTATGACCTATGGGTCAAATCTGGCCTGCCACCTGTTATTGTAAATAATTTTACTGGAACCCAAACCCAATGAGATTATATATGCCTGTCCTCCTAGTACAATGGCAGTGTTGAATAGATGCAATAAAGATTATTCAGCTTGCAAAGCCTAAAAATGTACAATGTAGTCTTGACTGCTAACCAGAAGGCTGGCAGTTCAAACCCACCAGCCACTCCTCTGAAGGAAGGTTGGGCCATCTACTTCCGTAGTGATACCACCCAGAAATCCAAGGAGGGGTCATAATGAATCTGGTCTGACTTGACGGCACATAAAACAACAACAACAAATTCCTTTATAGAAAGTTACCAACATCTCCTGTTATACCCTGAAAGCAGCTAGTATTTAATTTCAATCCATGACATCTAATCATCTGATAGTCCCATGAGCTTATCTCACCCCTTCTGCATCACCATCACACTCATTGCTATTCTTGAGCCCATCCTTGCAGCCACTGTGTCAGTCAATCTCATTAGAGATCTTCCCCTTTTCTTCTGACCCTCTGCCTTACCAAGCATGGTATCCTTCTCCAGGGACTGGTTCCCCTTGGTAACATGACCAAAGTATGAGTGATGAAGTCTGGCCATTCTTGCCTCTAAAGAACATTCCGGCTGTTCTTCCCCCAAGATAGATTTGTTCGTTCTTCTAGCAGTCCATGGTATATTCTTTATTCTTTGCTAACCACAAACTCTATTGCATCGATTCTTCTGAAATCTTCTTTATTGCATTGGGTTCAGCTACAGCTTCATCTTCAAAGTGAATTTTTTTCTCTTCAACACTTTAAAGAGGTCTTATGCGGCAGATTTACCCAATGTAATACATCCTTTGATTTCTCAATTCCTTCTTCCATTGACATTGATTGTGGATCATGAAATCCTTGACAACTTCATTCTTTTCTCTGTTTATGATGGAGTTGCTTCTTGGTCCAGGAGCTAATATCATGCTTGGAAATTAGTAGGTGATCCTTAGAGTTGTAAAAGCTATATTGTTGTTGTTATGTGCCCTCAAGTAGGACCTGACTCATAGCGACCCCTCCTTGGATTTCCGAGGCAGTATCACTATGGAAGTAGATTGCCCCACCTTCCTTCTGAGAAGTGGCTGGTGGGTTTGAACTGCCAGCCTTCTGGTTAGCAGTCAAATGTCTTAGGTACTATGCTACCAGAGCTCCCTGTAATGTTGTTGTTGTTGTTGTTTGCCGTTGAGTCAGCCCTGACTCACAGCGACCCCTCCTTGGGTTTCTGAGGCAGTATCACTATGGAAGTAGGATTGCCCAACCTTCCTTCCGAGGAGTGGCTGGTGGGTTTGAACCGCCAGCCTTCTGGTTAGCAGTCAAGTGCCTTAGGCACTATGCTACCAGAGCTCCTCTCCCTGTAATAGCTATAGCAATATTAAAAATACTTTTTTATTGAACTAAATTGAGTAATTGTTTAATTTATATAGATACCTTATGCCAAGATGTCTTATAGCCTTTAATGAATTTTGAGTCTCCAGGATGGAAATAAAGTATGCAAGTTTTCGAAAATTAAATTGATTATTGAACTTCCATTTCAGAAATGGTTTTCATAGAGGTAATATAGGGAGTGCTAGAACATGTGCTGCTGGAAAATATGTCACATGTATCATTATAATATCTGAGAAACTGTCCAAAGAGACAGAATATGTCCATTAGGTGCAAGTGTATTGAACATATAAAATATGAAATTTCATGGCAGTGTGAGGGATGCAGACATGAAGCATATTGTAATGCAGAGATTGGTGGAGCAGAGAAAGTTCCACACTGACAACTTTAAAAATATATGGTAATATGTGAGTAGATTGTACTATTTGAACCATTTGAAACAATTTTTTAGAGCAAAAACAGGGATTAGGAATGGCTTTGAATTTACATAAGTTTAGTAGTAAACTTTCTCCATATTTAAAAATTTCTCCTTGAAATTATCTGCAAAATACTAAAACCCTTAGCTTGTTTTTAAATAAATTCACCATTGAGAATTTATTTAAATTAGCTACACATTTAATTTTTCATAATTATCTAGCTGGGATGTTATTAATTAATTCAGTGATATACGAAAAATGCATTCTGTAAATTGTAAAAGTCAAGAAAGAATGTTTGATTTTTTCTTTTTATACTAAACTTACTTTATTCACTTTTTTTTCCTTTTTTCTTTTTTTTTTTTTCCTTTTCTTTGTGATTGTCTTCTATAATTAAATAGTATTCCAAAAGCAGTAAATCACACTATGTATGTTGATTTTTAAGTTGCATTGCTATTGATGCTTATATATGTTTTTACAGGTCTTTGTTTCTAAACTGGGCTGCAAAACCATAATAAACAATTTGCATGTTTTCTGTTTCTTATAGATTCTACAAAGAAATTAAAAGATGTTCTTGAAGAATTCCATGGTAACGGTGTGCTTGCAAAGTATAATCCTGAAGGGGTAAAACTTTTTTTTCTTTAAAAAAGTTTTATTATATGTGCTTTGGTTTGTGGGAATTCCTTATATAAAGAGTGCTTGGTAATGAGAAAATATATATATTAAATATATGTTATAGATATGTGATATATATGCATAATAATTTACCTATAAACACACATATGTAAATACATATATTAAACATACACTATAACATAAACAAAATGAAGTTCCTAATGAAATTTTACTCTGGAAGATATGTAAAGTGTTGTACTATATTTTTTATCCAACAAAGTTTTGGTGATGTAAATAACATTTCTCTATTCCATGCCTGAAAGAAAAAAAAAAAGCAAAAAGCCTGGTGAATAGTGTTAGCTTCTTCTTTTCCTAGGAGATAGGAAATGTGAATAGAGAGAGGGGGGAAGAAGTATCTATGACTCTATGGTCTGCAAAATGTAACTTTTAATTGGTATGTGTATGGGGCAGACAGTTACTCTTTTAGGGAATTATTTACTTGACAAAAGGAAGATTGGGTGATAGATACGTCTATCAAAGTATGCAGTTGGACCAGAAGAGGATTTTCTTCCCCACTATTTCATGCTTAACATACTAATAGTAAGCTTCTGAATCCTTGGGATTATTTCTGAATAAACACTGCATTTCCTGTGTACTGCTTTGGAACACAGTGCTTGCATGAACGTTTTTCCTTTCCTAATTATTTCTTAAATAGACTCCCATTTAATGTTATCTGAGAAATGTTATATATTAAATGTTTCATCACCATTACGAGGGGTTCACTTGCAGCTTCACTAAGTGATATTTCGATTGTGTGAGAGTTAAAACAAACTGTAGTTTATAAAAGACCCTTTTGCCTGGATGCATTTATTATCTATCTACATAGATTTGTTTGCTGAGTAAAATGTGATTTGGTTTTTGTTATTATTAATGTTTTGTTTTTCAATGTCTTTAAGAGCACAGTTCAGGTTATCCTTTAGTATTGTACTTCTTAATGTTTATAGAATTAATAGTTTAGTTACTAATAGTTAGAATTTCTTAATCCCAAACTCATAACTTTAGTATCATTCTCTAATTTTTCCAGTATTTTTCATAGTTATCTATTTTTCATGTCATATTTCCTTATTCCATATGCATGCTAATAAAGTATTGTGCATTTCCAAACTCTTTAACCTTACTAATATTTTTTATTTTTTAAAAAATAAAAGGAATCTTTATAACTATAAATGATAGGGAAAATAAAGGCAATTGAAAGACATTTGCATTTTCCTAAACCAGGCAAAAAGCAAATGTCTGGCCTACTTTCCCTCCAATTATATTTCACCAGATGCTACAGAATGAGGGGAAAAAAAAATGTTGGCAGATTAACTTGTATAACTGAAAACTTTAATGTCCCAGAAAGCAGAGTAGGAGAAGTAAACATGACAACTTTACTAAATTTTCTGTAGACCCTAAAATGTCATTAATATTTATATTCCCAACAATACTTGAAAGTTTGTATGTTATCAAATATGTGCACAGAGATTAGACCAGTTATTTTCTCCCTAGAGATAACTGCTGGTTATCAATTAATTTGAAACATGATCTTGTTTTAGAGCAGCCTTTCTGCTTCAAATTTTTCTTACTATTAACATCTCTCAGGATTTAGTCCTACTGATACTGTATTTTTTATGAGGACTATCAGTCACTGTATACTAGATTTATTGAGGTAATTACCAGAGTCATTGTTAAACACACATGTGATGTCAGCTTTTTCAATAATGTAATAGCTCTATAGCTCTCCATAAACCCACAGATCTGCTGATGAAATGCATTAATAATATAATGAAGAGTTGAAAAAAAAAAAAAGTAGATCTCATAGTCACACAAATATAGCTCTAATTGGAGAGCAAAACCATGCTCTAGTATTAACACTGATAGGAATCTATTCTTCAGAAGAAAAAATTAAAGTTGATAGGACTGTTTGAAAAACTAGTAGATATTTTAGTAGAAACTAATAGGAAATAATTAGGAATTTCTAATGTTGAGGATACAACCATTAAGGCCATGAGATTCTGTTCAATACATGACCTCGTTCTGTTTATAAAAAGTTAATCTAAGAGTATGAAATAATTCATGTCAATTGAAAAATGAAGTTAACCATGGTCTGTTAACTGATCAAGTTGTGCCTAAAATTGTTTAGCATGGATAACTGCTTATAGATGCTAAATGATCAAGGAAAATTTAGAAGTGATTAATCTAGCATGTCTTTAGAATGAATAATTAATAAGTCTTTGGTTTTCTAAACCAAAGATGGCTTATATCATTTACATGAACACTAGAAGGGAATAAGTATTCATATTTTAGCATATCTTTATAAAAACTCTGATATTTTCATAATTGTCTCTGGAAGGTTTTAATTGTACTATATGTGTTATTCATTATATTTATTTCATGTCAGTTAAATATTTGCTTATTACAGTCAAAGACTGATCTAGTCAGTGGTTCTCATGTTCTAGCCTGTATCGGAATCCTCAAGAGGGCTTGTTAAACATAGTTTGCTGCCCCCACCCTGAATTTATGATTCATTTGTTCCAAGGTTGGGCTCAAGAATGTGCATTTCTACCAGTTTTCAGTTGTTGCTGATGATCCTGGTCTGGAACCAAATTTTGATAACCATAGATCTAAGATCTGTTTCAAAATCAATCTGTAAACTAGAAATTTTAATTAAATTATCATAGGTATATGATAATGAGTCTACTTATCTTCCATTAACACATGTATTCTTTCTTTCCTTGCATGCACAGAAACAAGACATTCTTAACCAAGTAAGATATTTTCTTTTCTATTAAAATCTACATTTTCTTCTTTTTCTGATGTGAACTGTGAACTTGTCATCCATTCCTCTGAGCTATACTTCTATATCAATAAGATTGATATAGTTAGCCGGGCTGTGTATAATACTCATTAAATTAAAATTGAATTCAGGTACAATTGCAAATTTGTTCAAAAAGAGAGAAAGATTGCTAGCTATGTCAGTTAACGTCTCACATGGAAGAGATAATACCTTACTGAAATCAAAGAGTATCCAGAGTGTGGGCTTCAGTTTTGTAGATTCTGGACTTTAATATTCTAATTTCACTAAGACATAATCAGGACTGCTAAAATAAATCCTAATTAATAGGCTAAATTTATCAATTTGTAATATGAGATTTAAAAATTGTATGTAAAATAAAATTAATAAAGCAATTGTTTGGAGGGGCAGAATCTAAAGTATCATGCTCCATATTCCAGTACACAAAATTTTTAGATCTGTGGGGGAAACAAAGACTAAAAAGTCCTTTATTTTGCCCTCCCAGGGAGACGAATAGCCAATCTGTTGTATTAACTACCCTTTCGTAGTACAGACTATTTAATAAACTAAATTTTAGATAAATTGCTCAGTTAGGTGTATAGAATAACAACACATTTTAGCTAACCTCAATGCATATTTCTATCATGCTGCCTTCATTCCTTTAGAAATATTTTTTTTTTTACACAAATGTATGAGTTGTCTAAAACCATCATATTGCCTACCTTGAACAATGCTGGATATGTACTAGATGCTTCATATTCTTAAGATTCCTTGTGTTTTTAATAACAATAAACACAGTAATTCCATGCCCATAATTTACAGTATAATTGGTTACGGTAGAATTAGCTTGACTTATATAAAAGTCCTATCAGGCATATATTACAATCTCTGTTCATGCAGCATGACTGAAATGGCAACTCAATGACTGTGATGACTTTTAAGAGCTTCCATTTCACAGAATGATCTTTCTTTGACCTCATCCCTGACCTTTGTGGAAATCTATTAGCTCCCCAAAGACGAACTACGTGGACTTTATGGCACGTAGGAGGCTACCCCTCAGAGTAAAACGTTGCTAGTGTGAGTTTATATTTTCACCTCTTAGTCATTGAAGGGCATTTATTGAGCAGTTCTTGGTCAACAAACACACCATTCTGCACATTTTGCATCTCCATTATAGTCTCCCAGAAAACATGTGTCAAAGATAGCCATGGCTTTTCCTGAGGTCAGCAGAATGAATTTCTTCCTTCCTTTTGTTTTCACAGCCTTTTTTTCCGTATGCAGTTTAGGCAAAGAATTTCAGTTGCAGAATAGCAAGACTGGCCAGAGCATGAGACTAGGCAGAGGTCAAAGAAAAGAGCATGCACATGTTACTGTTTTCTATGTGCTCATTCCATTATCTGTGTTCTCTGAATGTAAGATTTTCTCTATCCACATTTCTTGTCAGTAGAAGACTCTGGGCTCAAGGCTGAGATACTGTCTTTAGCTCTGTGGGATTCCCTTAACTTTGTTCTTAGTACTCCATTCTGTAGTTTTCTGTTACTGTGTATACCTTTACATTCAGAAAAGTGAGTTGCTCCATCCAGTTAATAAGGAACTTGGAAATTCAGAACCTACATTATGCAATGCTACTCTCCAATATAATATTTAAAATGTCTTTTACATGGATTATTGATTAATATAATTCTTAGCAATATTGTAATCACCTTTTTACTGTAATTTATATTTATTCTTCCAGAATTTAACTCAAATTTTGCCATTGAAGAAAACATCTGGAAAATATAACAGATTTTAAAATTTCAAAGGAAGTGAGTTCAAATCTCATATCTGCCACATATTAACAGGATTGGGAAAAGATATATAATCTCTCCTAATCTCAGTTAAAAAGAAGAGAATATCATTTTATTGGATCGTTGAAAGGTTAAATACTAAAGATTGTAAAATGATTAGTTTGGGAGCTCTGGTAGCATAGTGGCTAAGGCACTTGACTGCTAACCAGAAGGCTGGTGGTTCAAACCCACCAGCCACTCCTCGGAAGGAAGATGGGGCAATCTACTTCTGTAGTGATACTGCCTCGGAAACCCAAGGAGGGGTCTCTATGAGTCGGGTCCAACTTGACGGCATATAACAACAACATGTCTGGCTCATATTTAGATTAATGTTTAGAAGCAATGGCTGT